AGCAACGCAACCACTTTGTGTCTGGTCTACAGTATAAACTAAGAAACATTTTGTATAAATTTATTAAGATTTCTCTCATGATTGTTGGTTTTGGTAATACCTGACAGTTCTTATTCTTTGGAAACAAGTAGAACATTCCTTAAAACAGGAAGGGCAAGGCTTATCTTCAGGGCAACAAGGTAGCAAGGAGATTCCCCCCATCTCACCTTATTGACCTGAGTAGAGTACTATGGCGTCAGTCTAGCTCACAGCAGCCTCAAACCCCTGGGCCCAAGCAATCCTCCTGCCTCAGCTTCCTGAGTAGCTGGGACTACAGGCGTATGCCACCACGCCTGGCTAATTTTTCTATTTTTAGTAGAAACAGGGTCTTGCTCTTGCTCAGGCTGGTCTTGAACTCCTGAGCCCAAGGGATCCTCCCGCCTTGGCCTCTCAGAGTGCTAGGATTGCAGGTGTTGAGCCACCGTGCCTAGTCCAGGAAGCAAGGAGAAAAGGAGACCAAAGCCCACTTCATAGCTAACCTTGGGGGTTATGAATAAAGAGGCTGATTTGGTGAGAAAAGGAAAGTTGGGCAGGGGGATATCAAAGAGGCGTAATAAGGAAGAAAGAGAACACAAGGTTGCTGTTGTTTTGACTAAACAGTAAGAAAACCCATCTTCATAACACCTTGCAAGTATCTCACTGAAAAGGCCCTTCTTTAGCACCCCCTCAAACTCCTGCCCACGCCTGCTCCTTTCTTTTATGATGTCATTCCTTTGACTTTCCACCTTGTCACTGTGCTCCAGCCACATGGACCTCCTTGCCATTTTCACATACCTGCCTGAGGGTGTTTGCATTGGCTAGAATGCTCTACTCCCAGGTAGCTCATAACTTTCTCCTTCACCACTTTCAGGTCTGTCTGTGCTCAATATCACTTTCTCAGGGGAAGCTTTTTCTGAACATCTTATTTTAAAATTTGCACAACCAACTGTTCTACTGGCTTCTTTTTAGCTGTATTTTTCTCCATAGCATTTATCACCTTCTAATCTACACTATATTTTACTTATTTTCTGTCTCCTCCTTTCATGAGGATGTAGCCTCCATGAGGTCAGGGACATAAGAATTCATTAGATATTTGTTGAATGAATGAGTGAATCAAGGAAGGAAGGAAGGAAGAATGGAAGAAACGAATCCCTGCTACCTTTGGAGATTATTATTAAAAGTGTTCAATAAACGGGAACTAGCTAACAAATTTAATCGTTTCTAACTGTTTTGCAAAATTTTATTGTTTTCAGGAAGTAAAGGTTTAAAAAACAAACTAATGATAATCCTAAAGACCAGTACAACCCTGACCAGTCTTACTGCCTTAAAAAATTAGATGTGTGGGAGGACAAATTTTTATATATAAATACATAAATGGCCTTTGAGTTTAGTAACAACCAAGTTTCTCATTAAAGTTATGATGAAAAATCCATCTTTTCCTGGTATATTGATTCCTACCTTAATTCATTTTAAGAAGTAGGTAAGGAGTAAATTATGAAATAATTAAACAGCATGCCCCAATACTACTAAATCTTTGGAAACAATGATCAGCAATGAACATAAAAAATGAATCCAATCATAGACTTTTTTTTAACGTCTGTGAATACAATGGCTTTAGGTGGCTGGGGAGGTGGAGGCTGAGCTGGTTTTGTAGATCTGCATGGGATTTTTGACATCAGGTAAGGGCAGCTCCTCTGAGACACAAAGGGAAAGAACTGTCTGGCAGTAGATTTCCACTCCAGTAAAAAATATTCTCTAATCTAAGATATTATTTAGAATTAAGTCAGCCCCTGGGATTGGTCAATGCTGGCCAGTTCACCTATGGAGACACCACTCTATCTACTATGCAGGAACCATGGGCCACAAGTTGGTAAGTGTGGACTTACCTACACAGGGCAAGTGGGATACTATGATTTGCATTTTGGAAAGCTTGACAATAAGCTTGTAGCAGAGATAAGATCAACAGAGAGAGAAAAGAAAGAAATGAAGTATAGCTCCTTGTAAACCATGTGCCTCTTACCATTGCTCTATTTTTCCTCCTAATGCCTTGCCACTTTAGGTCAACTCATGTCTGTCTCTCTTTTACTGATCGGATAGTCACATAAACACACTGTTTTTTGTCTTCTAGGTATTTTGGGATATGAAGGGTAGTAGGAGGAAAAAAAAGAGTGGGATAAATTTCATAGATTACAATAAGTTTTATCTTTAAGTCTAAGAATAATTTTCCAAGTGTGAACATCTACAGAACTTACAATATAATGGCAACAACGAGATTGGTCCCAAGAAATGATTAAGGTAAACAATGTGCTTTTTTTTCCCTCTCCCAGTTCTGGTAACTCAATAGTCTTTAACTACTTGAGAAGGTGTGAGGATCATTTTTTAATCTCACTTTGGACACAGATGCTCACATTTCAGCTATGATCAAAGTGATCATCCTTATCCCTTGCTGACACCTTTCTTCCCCACTTCAACAAGTCACAGATCACTTCTAGGAGAAAATTTCAAGAGGCTATTAAACACTGGCATGGATACTCAGAGAAGAGATATAATCGTCTCTGGGGACCTTTAGGAACAGCAGATCATCTCGGATAGGCAGAGTTACACCTAATTCAGTCCATCAAAATGTACTGGGTGCTGAGAACTCAGCAAAGCATTGTGGGAATACCAAAAAAGGTCAGAAGGCACAGCACCTTCCTTGAATAAACTGAAATGGCTTCATCTGGACTGGTTCTGAGAAAGGCACGTTTAGGTTTGGCTACCACTGAGGATACGTACTACTGGGCCAGGCTAGGTATAACGAGGACTTTGTGGGCCTGCATTCTATCCTAAGACAACACAATCTTAGAACCAGTTCTTAGTGATCATTTAACCCAGTGATTCTCAGTCTTGGCTGGACATTAGTATTTCCTGGGGGCACTTTTAAAAAATAGAGATGTCTGAGCCTGCTCCAGTCCAATTAAATCAGGATCTCTGCTTTTTTTTTTTTTTTTTTAAATAAACTCCCAAGC